TTTAACGTAACAAAGTAACTTAATTTAGGTTTAATAATATATTTTTTTATAGAGATAATAATTAACTATTTTGTTAGAACTCAATAATTATCTTAATTATATTTTAAATTTTTATAATTTAAATTGAGATGTTTATCCTCTATTTGATTATGTTTATCCGCAGTTAGTTACACGAATTCAAACATAAAGCTTTAAAAAGTTGTACTTATGCACAATTTACTTGTAATCTTGAATTTTAAGTAATATGCATCAATAAATAGTACTTCATGCATACAAAATGGTTTTTAAGAGTTTTTGTCAAATGCTTTATAATATAACTAGAAGGATACTCGCACAATTCAGCGAAATACATCTTGATTTTAATATTTCATTTTAATCTTTATCTCAGCTGTTGTTATAGTATGGACTTATATGATTTTGAAAAAACGATAATGTTTTATATTTCTAAATAAAATTTAAACTTGAAGATATTATAAAAATTTGAAAAAAATATATCGATATTAGTATCAAATTAACTAATTAAAATTCATATCTTTTGTGTAATTTTTTAATTCAATTTTTTTTTATAATTTAATTTAAGTTCAATCACGAATTAATTTATATTTGGTTTAATAATATAATTTTCTTACAAAAAATAATAATTAATTATTTTGTTATAACTCGATAATTATCTTAATTATATTTTAGATTTTTTATATTTTAAAATGAGATGTTTATCCTCTATTTGATTATGTTTATCCGCAATTAGTTACACAAATCCAAACATGGAGCTTCAATAAGTTGTACATAAGGACAATTTATTTGTAATTTTGAATTTTAAGTAATATGCATCAATAAATAGTACATAATGCTTTAAAAGTTGTTTTTAAGAGATTGAACCAAATGTTTTATAATATAGTATATATATAGATATAGATAATAATCAAGTATTCTGTTAGAACTCAATTATCCTAATTATATTTTTGATTTTTATAATTCAAAATGTGATGTTTATCTTCTATTTGATAATGTTTATCCGCAGTTAGTTACACGAATTCAAACATAAAACTTTAATAAGTTATACTTATACACAATTTACTTGTAATTTTAAATTTTAAGTAATATGCATAAAAAAACAAAATTTTCATGCATATATTTTTTAAAATTTTTATGAAATACTTTATAACATAACTAGAAGCGTACTCGCGCAATGCAGCGAAATATATCGTGTTTTTAATATTTCATTTTATTCTTTATCTTAGTCGATGTTATAATATGACTTTATGTGATTTTGAGAAAGCGATAAT